AAATTTTAATAATTTAACTTAAGCTTATAAACGAGAAATCCATAATCTCATAAAACTCGTAACTTGCCAATTCGTTAATGTTACAAATCAATAAATTGTGATCATGCTAACATTCAAAAATCTACTTATTAATAACGATGCGTGTTCAAAGCGTCGTATTATATTTAAAACATCACTGAAACCTCTACTTCTCGTTTCGGAAACCAACGTTTCGAAACTTTGGCAAATCCTCGAATACCACAATTTCGTTTCCCTCGACAATGTCAATTAAAATAAAGTCCTCTCCGATTCCTCTTGCGAAGAAACCTTTCAGGAATTTCCACGGAAAATCAAACAAAATCCCCGTTTCCGGGGAAGCCGATGCAAAGCATAAAGTATCGCCGCGAATTCGCTACTAGAGCTCGACTCCACGATATTTTGTTTAACATCTCCCCATCCATGGGGTCGAAGTTCGTCCGGCTGCTTATTGCCTCGCGGACTTGACTGCAGCCTCGAGCGCTCATCAAACTTCGTGCATCCAATCGGGGATGGATGCCGGTGGTTGTTGCGCGAAACTTGAGTTTCTGCATGCTGAACGATTGAAATAGATGTTCAATATGTTATTAATATTTCACCGACCGATTTTAATCTTCGAACGAATTTTTTCCATGATCGAGGGAGAATGGAATTTTAAATTAATTTTAAATTGGGATGAGAAATTATAAATAAAAAAAAAATTAAGATCTTTAAAAATTGATGAGCAGAAAAAACATGATGAATATAAGTAGTTTTATTGATTTTTTTGTGATATTTTTTGTGATATTTGTTATTTCGTAATATGTTCGTGATGGAACAAAAAGTATATAATGAAAATCCAGGCCGATATTTTTTTCATTAAAATGTACGAATATAATGATTTTATCTTTTTTAATTTTTTGGCTATTGCTCCTAAAAAATAGATGAATATACAAATTTTTGTAAAAGCGAAGGAATTAATGAGAATTAATATTTTTAAAATATACAGAATAAGTTTCGTAATAAGAGTATTTAATATTAATATTCTTATTGCAAACTTATAAAAGCTATGAAATTACAAAAACTATTTTATGAACATTATGAAAATATTACTATTATGTAGACAATAAAAATTAAAAAAATCAGGTTTTCATGTAAATTTATTTAATACATGCAGATCTCAAACGATTCAATTTTTCAGTCATTAAAATTAAATAATCTTTTAAAGGAAACGATCATCAAAGACATATATCAGAAACATCTCTTAAATCTTCGAAAATTCTCACTTATAATTCATAAGTGAGACTTTCTCAACTACTTGTGCTTCACACACACAATTACTTCGAGAAACGTAAAAAAAGAAAAGAAAATAACAGTCTCACATGGCAATCTCATATATTCTCTTTGTGGGAGGCAATTATCAACTTCTGTTAATATATACCGCGACACACGTTTCATATCGCGATGAAAGTGAATGATTTAGCTGAGATCCTAATTAATTAATATCACCAGATCTAGTCCAATCCGTTCACCGTTCTCCCATGAATGTTCTCATTAAACTAACTCTCATGAACACAAACACTTGTGTGCTTAAGTATCATCCAGTGATTCGTTTGTTTCCACAAATTTCCACAGAATATTTGCAGCCTGCCACGATCGCTCGATCATTATTACAATCGCGGCAACGACCGCGTGCACACTCCCACTCTCTAGATCTCACCGAAGGTAAGTAGTCTTAAGCAGCTTATGAACTGTATAAGTAATAGACATGGTCGTGCTCTCCTTCCGCTCTTCTTATTTCTTTATCTTGACTTGCAGCTACTTTTGAGAACAGAAAATTGTTTTCATTAGAATTGAATCATATGGAACGGTAGAAATTTTGGCGAGACGAACAAATTCTGGAATTTCGAAAGTGGATGTCAATTATATTATTTATTATTATCTTTCCTTATTTATCTAGAAGAAAAATCATAAATCAGGAAATAGAATACTGGTGTCGAAACTTAATTTGACAAAAGAATTCAAGAAACAGATCTTTAAATAGATGCCATGGGACTATTTCTCTAAAATTTTAATTAAAAATCGAATATAATAGTATTTCTATTGAAAAAAATTCGATTACGTCAATTTTGTTACAAATTTATTTTAATTATTTCTTTCCAATTAACACTCTTCCTTCTGAATCTTTTTATTCTACTTTATAACACTTGGAAACAGAATTTTTCCTTGTTACCAGGAAGAAATAAGATGAGGAACAAAGATAAAACACATGCAACTTGGTAGATATGATTTATAAAATTAATAATAAAATTAATAATAATACGTTTTTTTTATAACAATGTTATATTTAAATTGCACATACATGCATTACTTTCGAATAATTAATTTCATTTCTATAAGACTTAGAATGTAAATGATAAATAAATAAATAATAAATTTCTATAAATTAAATCTATCTTTGAATTAGATCATTTTTGAGAATTTTCTAATGAAAAAATTAGTATTTAATATAAATTATAAATTTTATTCAATTAATGTCTATAATTAATTTGTTAAAATGTGATAGTAACTAATTAAACTATATATAATAACTATGTAATTTAATCTAACCTAGAAAAATTCTATACTTAATTCCAAAAAATAATAACAACATAATTAAGATTTTAAAAAAAATCTTATCGAAATTATAAGATTTTATTTGCAAAGTCTTTTTTTTTATTTGCTAGATTTCTCTATCATCATTGAAAAAATTTCAATTTTTACGTTTTATCCTCTTTTCCACTTGCAGAGCCATAAAGAAAAAAGTTGGCCAGCCGGTGAAATAGCCTCCCGTCAATCAAAAACATACGAAATATGGCACAAAACTGTCTTTGTTCTACGCACTCGAAATCGTACTTCGACCAGGACGAATCCATAGCTTTTTCTGCCCATTCATCCGGTGTAATATTCACGGTGCAACGGCGAGAATACTCGCGCGAATCATGCATAAACGCAAGAATGCACTCACTGTGCGCTAGTATCGGAGAATTTTGTTCTTTTGCTTTATTCTTTCATTCTGTAATATATATATATATATATACAGATATTCTTTGAATAAGACAATATTTGAACTTCTATATGGAAAATTTTTTTAAAAAATTTTGGTATAATTAAAGAGAATAGTGAAAATAATCAAGTAATTTTGTGTTTTTTTGGTTTTTAGTTTTATGAAATTTTTAATACTAAAATAAAACTTTTAATAATCGTAGGATAATACAAAAATTAAAAATTAAATTAAAATTAAAATTAAATTTGAAGTAATATAGTAAAGATTATGATAAAGTCGAATATAATATTGTGTTTCAATTTTATAAAAATTTGAATGACAAAGTAAAAGATTTAATAATTGTAGAATAATTCTAATCTTGAATTTAATGGAAAGATCATTTCGTGATGATATAAAAAAATTAACTCAAAAAATCATAATAAAAAATTAGATATAATTTGGAATATAAATTAAATTATTTGTTTGAATAATAGGATGAAAAATTGTATATAAGTAATACTGATTTTTACGAAATAAAACCTAATAATTCTAGGATAATATTACGGTGAAAAGTTACAATAAGTACTGAATAACACGAAACTTGAGTTACAAGGAAGATAAAATAGCATCGTAAGAAATTGCGATAAACTTTGAAGCAACATTTGAATTAAAATCTTTTGTATAAAAAAAATTAAAGTGACGATCGAATAATATATGATACAATTGCATCATATTGCAGAATGAAGTTTAATAAAAATATCTTTAAAATAATTCAATTTATAATAATATTTACAAATACATCGAAAAAAGAATATTTTGAATTCCAATTAAAACATATTACATAATATCCGTGTGTACAAGCCAAGAAACGAATGGAAACGAATCGATAATGGTAAACAGTTTCCATATATTATGCATCTGATAAAATAAACGGTCTCGCGTGACTTCCGGCTCGATTGTACTGTACAAGAGCTCTTACACAGTTGAAACAACGTTTAGACTGACTTACAGAATGGCTGAAAACAAATAGATACTGCAAACCAAATTATTTACATAATATATTGAAATATTTATTGAGAAGAGACTACGTATGCAGATTTAAGAATATGTTTCGTCCATTTTGCCAGAAACCAATGATGATCGTTTGAGGATGAATTTCAAGCTCGTTTAAAGGGTTGAGCTTGCTGGAAGGATTAGTCTCNAAGAGACTACGTATGCAGATTTAAGAATATGTTTCGTCCATTTTGCCAGAAACCAATGATGATCGTTTGAGGATGAATTTCAAGCTCGTTTAGAGGGTTGAGCTTGTTGGAAGGATTAGTCTCGCGAGGGTCGAAGTTTGTTTGGGTTTGGCGGCTTGTACAAAAGGGAAGGAGGTGGTAAAGGAGTTGTTGCATTGTGTCGTGAGATTCCGATACATCGATACAGATGTTTTGGTTCGTGCAAGGCAACCAACTACGATCAAAGGATTAAGCGAGGAAATTAAATCGAAAGTGAATTTGTTGTCAGCTTAAACGAATAATTGGTTTAAATGGAGGTTTCTTAAAATTAGTATAATGATATTTATTGGTGAAATTCAATCGTGCTTAATTTAAGACGAATGAATTAAATAAAATTTAAAAAAAAAGGTAAGGGTCATGGATTTAAGAAATTTAGAAAATTTGATCCTAAGAATCCTAAACTTTTAAATATTAATAATATAATATGTCACTTTGAAATTGTGAAGATCAATATTATCGATTTTTAAACATTTGGCACAATAATACTCATCAAAAATCTGAAGTAAAATTCTCTTTCATAATTCTAATTCATTAAGAAACCCAAAAATATTCTCAATCAACGTATAAAAATCAATACAAATAACTACTACTATCTGTTCCTAAATCTTAAAAAATTTTCTCAATCAATATTTATCCATAGATCAATACTTTCATTGCACACCTTAAAATAATTCTAATTCCTCATTTTTTTTTATTTACAGATCTCGGTCGACGTAGTCATGTAAATTCAGTGGTCCACAAGAGCACAGTGGTGGCTGATCTCCTCTTCAAACTCGGGTAGCCGAACGGTTAGTTGAACGGCCGGGTCCCAGAATACGGCCTGGTCTAACAGGAAGCTCGTCGCGTCTCCAACCGCGAAGGATCGGGTGATGAGCTCAGGATATCAGGCGACCGGCCCCATCACAACATGTTCCGTTCCAAGATTCGCATTCACACGTGTCAAGTGATACTGCTCACGTCCCTAGTATGGTTCCTGGTGGACGTGATGGTGCTGATGCTCTATTCGGATTGCATCGGAGGATCCGGATGGGGTTGCACGGAGAACGGCAAGCAGCAACAACCGCTCACTGAGGAAAGTTTGCCCCATTCGAAAATTGATTTAAAAGAAGAGGAACAGATCCAGCCGGTTGGCCAGCAGAGTAAGAAACGGTACAAACAACCGGAACTGCATTTGTGGAGGCCAGCTAGGGTAGTTAGGGATAACAAGGGGATACCCGGCGAGATGGGCGCGGCGGTGCACATCTCGCCGGAAGACGAAGCAAGACAGCAGGAGCTCTTTAAATTGAATCAATTCAATTTGATGGCGAGCGACATGATATCGTTGAATCGGTCCCTCAAGGACATAAGGCTGGAGGGATGCAAGACGAAGAAGTACAGCAAGTACCTGCCGGATACTAGTATCGTGATAGTATTCCACAACGAAGCGTGGAGCACGCTGTTGAGGACCGTTTGGTCTGTCATTAATCGGTCTCCGCGCACGTTGCTCAAGGAGATCATATTGGTAGATGATAAAAGCGAGCAAGGTGAGCACGAGAATGATTTCGCGGTAAAGGAACTGGATTGACATGACTTGGAGGGCTGTTTGAATAGATGGGTGTGGTTTTGATTGAGTTCATGTTGCAATGTTAAATGCTTCTCTAAATATATAGGCGCGATACTGTGAATTGTTTATTTAATATATAGTATAATAGAATCGTAGTTTTATAAAAATCATATGAATTTTTATTCTAATAATAAAAATAAAATTATAATTAACGTTACTTGATATTATAGATAAAATATTCATCACGTCATTTTTGAATAATATAATAATAGGTATTTGATAATACAATATGCTTTTATTGCAATTGATAACTGGAATATTTATTTATCTAGAAACTTATATCAATGAAATGAATTGATTATATTAATTTATGTATTATTAAAAAAAAAAGATGAATGTATATATGTATATATGTATCGAAATACATTATAAAATATCAAATTTTTAAGTCAAAATTCATACATATATGACGTTAATAGTGAATTGAACATATTGAAAATAATTTTTAAATATAAAACATAAAACTACTCTATTATATACTATCTTTATACAATAATTGCTCAAAATCTGACTTAATAATTCCTTGAGCATTTTTTTTTTTTAATAGATTGTAATTTTCACATTTTTCTATTTACAATTTCTTTCATTCAATTTAGAGAAATCTCGCAGATATTTTTAGGACATTCGATCCATCCAAAAGCTTGAATGATCGTGCATCTTCTTTCAAACACACTCTTCTTTCAAACATCTCCAATATCAAAATCTTATAGTCACTCTCAATAAATATTCAAGTCAAAATTTCTTTTCTTATTTCTATATTGTAAAAGTAATAGGAAAATATAGAATCCTACGTACCTTTTATCAAGTCAACCAGTTCCAATTGCGGCAATAATGTTTTATTATTCAATGAATTCAATCGAAAAACTATTGGCAATGTGGTCAACGTCACTTTCACTTCTCCACGCCTTTTTGCTCACACAATGCACTCGATCCGCAGATCACTTGAAGCAAGACCTGGAGGACTATGTAAAAACGTTACCAGTCCCTACATATGTATACCGTACTGAGAAGAGATCGGGTCTAATCAGAGCCAGACTGCTTGGGGCGAAACATGTGAAGGGACAAGTTATAACGTTTTTGGACGCTCATTGCGAATGCACAGAGGGTTGGCTGGAACCTTTGTTGTCTAGAATCGCTGAAGACAGAACCACTGTTGTCTGTCCCATCATTGATGTGATTAGCGACGATACTTTCGAGTATATTCCAGCCAGCGATATGACGTGGGGTGGTTTCAATTGGAAACTGAATTTTAGATGGTAAGAATCGGTGAATTGATTCTTTAAGAGATTATATCTTTTGAGGTTTAATATATAAAGTAATCTTTGAAGTAATCTGCGTTATAATTTAATTCATTAATAAATATTTAAATTATTGATTATAAAAACACTTAATTAAATTATGAATAGAAAAGAAAAATAATTAAAGTAAAATATTAAACATACATTAATATGAAATATTTTTTAATTTTTTATATGCTATTATTTATTATTTATTATTATTACTGGATAATATTATTTTCCTAATTTTTTAAAAAGTAATTAATTTATTTTCAGAAATGCATATGATGGATGCATCATTATTTTTGAATGGAATAATCTATTATGCATCAATATTATTAACATCATATTTTATAAAGTTTATGCACTTATGATTATTTATAACACTATGATATTTTTTTTTCAATCATTAAAATTTTATTATGTGTTGAATTTCTCTAATGATAGATATTATATCCATTGAATTATTAATATGAAGTTCTATAAACTTTCAGGTATAGAGTGGCGCAAAGAGAAATGGACAGAAGATTAGGAGATAGGACAGCTCCTCTAAGAACACCAACAATGGCTGGCGGATTATTTTCTATTGACAAAGAGTATTTTTACGAATTGGGAGCATACGACGAGGGCATGGATATTTGGGGCGGTGAAAACCTCGAAATGAGCTTCCGGGTGAGTATTGATCGATGACAGTATTTACTTTATGCGGTCAGTCTATTTAAATGAAAATGAAGTTAGGAAACGCGGCCAAGTAAAAAGAATATTGAACATGAAATATTTATATATATATTCAATTTTTTTTTAATATAGATTATACTGATTGAAAATTTTCCAGGTGATTCGGAAATATTTATCGCTTCGATAATAAAAATAAAGATATTTATGTATAAATTTTTTTTATTTGCTTTTTTTAGCTAATTTTTTTTCTCTAATGCTGTTAATTCCACAAAAAAAAACTTTTTCTATATTTATATTTATATTTATTATTATTATATCTATATTTATGTAGTTGTTTGAAATTCTCTCTATGTATTTAATTCTTTAATAGTAAAACTTAATTTGATAATTAATACTAGAATTTTAAAAATCAAATATTCAAAGATTTTGATTCTAGTGTTAATTATATGATTTATCGCACGTTTGTTTTTAATTATTGTGAAATATTTTAAATTTATAATTCCAAAATATAGAGGGTTTAGATAATGGTTATTGTAATCTTCGTTTGTGAAGTCATAAGTACCTTGTAGGTATGGCAATGCGGTGGGACGTTAGAAATCAGTCCATGTTCTCATGTTGGACATGTGTTCCGAGACAAGAGTCCGTATACATTCCCTGGTGGTGTCAGCAAAGTAGTTCTACACAATGCGGCTAGGGTGGCCGAAGTCTGGATGGATGAGTGGAGAGATTTTTACTATGCCATGAATCCAGGTTAGATAACAGCGTGTATCATTTCTTTTGTATACTTTTTTCTTAATTATCAACCAATTAATAGATAACATCAAATAATAACGCTAATTACTCGATAGTCAATCTTCACTAATGCTGTTAGTTCCATAAAAAGAAACTTTTTCTGTGTTTAAAATTTGTTATAGAAAAGTGTGCCTTTCTTTTGTTCTTTTTTTATTTTTTTGTTAATCTTTTAATACGAAAAAATATAATTATTTTAAGAGATTTTAAATAGAAAAGATAAAGAATAATTATAAGTTTGATGTTTGCTATTATAGTAAACTTAATGTGAAATTCGTTTACATATTGTTAGTATATATAATTTAATTCAAAAATAAGACAATACAAATATCTTAACGGGTATCTGATACGACAAATGCTATAATATTATAAATGTAAGACTGTTATATTATAGCACACTTTTTTTTTATTTAGTTTTAAATGAAAAAATTGTTCAAGTATTAATTTAGAATAAATATTCTTATTCATTTAGTTAGTAGCATCGCGTAACAATTTATATGTTTAAAATTAACCCATAGCTATATGTAGTTTATTTATATTTGACTCTAAAATTAATCTTAAGCGTGTTTATTAGTATAATATTAACCAAATTTTCTTTTTTACATTTATATTATCAAATTTTATATTAACATGTCTATGTACATGTCTATATCTATGTATGTAAATGTATCGTAATTACTATTGATATTATATATTTTTATCTAAATTTTTTCTTCTTGTGTGTATGTATGTGAAACAAAGAGAGAAAGGGAGAGAGAGATATTGATATTTTAGTTACATTTAGCCATAAAATTTGATTTGCAGGAATACAATTGATTTCTTTGTATTTCAATATACTTTGGTATAGTCTTAACCACTCATCCATCCAGCCGACTAACAAAATGAATTTGCTTGCTTCTTTGTTGATACATTTTATGATAATATTATAGGTACCAAGAGAGAAGAACGAGCGCCCATCTGATCAAACTTCAAATATATTAGCTCTTTTTGTTTTTTTTTCTTTTTTTTTTTTTTTTTTTTTTTNTTTTTTTTTTTTTTTTTTTTTTTTTTTTTTGTTATAAATTACCATTTGTAATTGCTAACATACTAACAGAACTGAGTTGGTTAGATATGGATGTGTGGTGGGACATTGGAAATCGCAACGTGCTCGCACGTCGGTCATGTATTCCGTAAGTCAACACCATATACATTCCCTGGTGGTACCAGCAAGATAGTGAACCACAACAATGCGCGACTCGCAGAGGTCTGGTTGGACCAATGGAAGTACTTCTATTACAACATTAATCCAGGTAGCACTAACACCAGCATTTCTGGAAAGAGAATATAGACTGCAATATCGCTAAATTCTTAAATACTTTTTTATGTATTTCCTGTTTGGTTTACTTTATCTTATCTCGCATGTTCTTTTTTCTATCGGATAATTGGTACGCTTTTATAAGTTGCATTTAACTTAGCTTAACAGCAGCTAATCACTAGCTATGCGTATATATCAGATACCCGTTAATATTAGGAAAATAATAAATAAGTTTTTTTTTTTTGTTCTTTTTTAAGGCAAAATCTCAAGAAAGAAGGTTAATAAAAAAAATAAATAAAAAATATGATGAAAATATATTCAATTTAAATTTTAATACATTGTATTTTGAACAAGATTTCCTCCTTCAAAATTAATATGTTATGAAAGATTGATGTAATAGCACAATTATTTTCAACAGCAAGCATATTATAGCATTAGTACACCACACATGGCAATGTATTTACTTTAGCACAAACTTTTGACACCCTTCTTTCAGAGAATATTCATATAATCACATTTTGCATTTTAAAAATTTTAAATTTAATTTTAATTATATTAATCAAAATTATTTATTTTATTATTTTATTTATAGGAGCTCGAAATGTAGCTGTTGGAGATGTATCTGAAAGAATTAAGTTAAGAGAACGTCTTAAATGTAAAAGCTTTAGATGGTACTTGGAAAATATTTATCCTGAATCTCCAATGCCACTGGATTATTATTATTTGGGTGATGTACAAAATGTTGACACACAAACTTGTTTGGATACAATGGGTAGAAGAACAGGTGAAAATGTTGGAATTAGTTATTGTCATGGATTGGGTGGTAATCAAGTTAGTGTAATTAAATTATTTTTAATTTTCATTAAATATTAAATTCTTTAATTAATAAAATATAATTTTTTATTTCAATTAGGTGTTTGCTTATACTAAACGACAGCAAATTATGTCTGATGATATGTGCCTTGATGCAGCTAGTCCCCAAGGTCCTGTCAAAATAGTACGATGTCATGGTATGGGTGGAAATCAAGCATGGGTTTATAATGAAGAGGTATAACATAAATAATTTAAAAATAATTTTCATAAAGTAATAATAATAATAATAATAAAAATAGTAGTAAAAATAGTAGTAATATAATATATATTTGTTTGTAGACAAAGATGATCAAACACACTAATACAGGACACTGTTTGTCGAAACCTCGTTCGAACGATGCAATGCAACCTGTTTTAGCACCTTGTGATCCGCATAACATCGGTCAAAAATGGACCATGCGTAGTAAATTCAAATGGCAAGCCAGCTAATATGAGGTGTTTCTAAGTGCAACATTTATATGTAATACTTGTTGATCTATTTAATATTAATTCAAGAACTGATATTCAAAAAACTTCCGTATTTTGAGGAACCAAGGAAAAGACTAGTATTATACTCCGTAAAAACAATACAGTATCATGTTTTGTCGACTTATAAATATCAGCGGAGTTAATAGTGATCGTAAACGAGAAACTGAGAGATTGAAGTTAATGCTTTTTAGTTACATAGGATTTATTTACTGTTACTAGCAGTATTGTGTATTTACTGCCATTTTTCATGGTATGCCTTGATTAATAATGCACAAGTGTTAAAAGAAAAAAACTATTCCAATTGTGCGTGCGTACAAGTGATACGAAAAGAGACGTATGTGAACATTATTCTTTTTTTATTTTTTTTTTTAAAGTAAACAGTAAAGAGAAAAGCATATCAGACCACTGTTATAAATAAATAATTGTTAATACAAAAAAAAGAGACATATTTGATAATATGGGATGAGTGCAATGCTGGATGACTGGAAGATATATCAGTGCACTGAAACACAGATATATTAATGGCATAAATGATACATTACTACAGAGAGTGAATGTTGAATTGCAAGTGGTATTATTGTGACATTATTGATTACGATTTAGAACTTGTATTGTACAATTTTTGTAGCAATTAGGGAAGAGCACTGAATCTTTTTATACTGATATTTCTAACAGTTCCTTGTTGCATCTCGTTCATATGATTTAGTTGTTATTAGTTTTCTTTTTATTCGTTTAAATGGATGAATGTACTTATACCTGAATTCGCCATAGCAATATGAGATTAACGAAATATCGTTTAAGAATATAAGAAAACTATCGACTGTTATTCACTGTACTGTTATATTTTAAATATTTTCTTAAATTCAAGACAAAAAATGTCTTCCGTATTTTCTTAACAAAAAAAAAGCTAAATATTTTTATGATATTCCTAATATCTTATATAGTTATAATTCTTCATAGATTCAGGCCCTTTTTGCTTTTTACACATTTGAAGCGTGCCGAAAATATAGAGTGCAATATCCTTGTTAAATAAGAAACTATGGAAACAATTTCCTGTAACTAATGTAAAAATAATTATATAATGTAATAATTGTTATCAGATTCTGGCGCCCTTCCCTTACATTACTATAAACTAAAATTAAATATCTTTCATATTTCAGAAAAAAAAAAATGAACATAGTCAACAAGATAAAATAACATTTCTGAAAAATAATAACTAATAGTTATACTTTCTCAAATTTGAGAAGAAATTAACTAATTCTGTAACTTTAAATGAGAAAACATTAAACTACATTTATAATATTTAAAATATATGACACTAAGAAATTTTCAATTTAGGAACTTTAATATCAAAGAATATACTCAATCTTATGTTATATGAAAGAATGGTGATGGTGCAACAAATTATCATTTACAGCTTAATTATATATTTAATTATTTGTACAAGACAATAGTATTTATTTTTGTATAGGAGTTGATTTTTATTAAATCAATATATTATTTGAATATATGTTTAATTATACTAGCAGAATTTGTAGATAATTTGTTAGTTATTTGAATTGATAAAATTTAGTTAAATTCAAGTGCACAAAATATAGAAAAAGATAAAATCTATAATTGTAAACAATTTTTAATCTTATAACTTATTCAACGAATTGTATGTGAATGAATCATATGTAAACTACTACTATGTTTTATTATTTTTATTTTATTTCATTTTAGGCTAATATTTAGAATTATTTATAAAAATTATATTAATGAAAATAATTGTAAGAATTACATTAAAACATTAAAGATTACTTATTGGCATAGATATTCAAATTCATGAAATTTATTTCTAAATTTATTGCATATAAATTTATATGCAATGTATGGCAAGTGTATATATTCCTTAAATAAAAAAGTCTACATTTTCTATTATTTATGAGAATTAAACATTGAAATAAATAACTTTAAAGACAATAAAGTACTCTACATATGTTCCATTAAGTTTAATATATATATATATAATATTTAATCTGATTAATAGTTTTCTAAAAAATTCCATATTTTTTAAAGCATTAATTAATTTAATAAAGATAATATATTCATTTTTATAAAAAAAAGTCTCATTAAAAAATTATAAGATTATGAATTCATTGTAAAATTTAATATATATTATAGAACAGAAAATATGTAAGTATAAGTACATGTATCATAGTTTTGATGTGCCTCAAAAGTAATTTCTAAATAATTCTTTCTAATAAATAATATGAAAATCCTACTCTTATATTAATAAAAATTTAAGTCTTATGTATCATGTATTAAATTGTCATGAATCTATTAAATCTAATAAAAATGAATTTTTTTGTTTACTATTTCTTTATCATATATATATAATACATAATACATAAATAATTTTCATTTTTTTAAATTTTAATTCATTAATATTTTATAAATTATTAGAAAAGGTAAAATAAAATAGACTAAATATTTATATGAAATTCATTAAATTTATTTACTGTTCTTTAACTTCACGTAATCTTCTTACTGCAGATCTAACAGAAGCAGCAGCTGTTGTCGAATATACCCATGCACCTCCAGCAACAGTTCTTTTGCATCGTTTGCAAGACCAAATACCCACAACACTTCGTTTCATAGCATCCTATCGCAAAAAAAAATAAAATTTACATATAAAAAAATATATTTAATGATTTTTATTAAAATATACTTATATAATAATTATGATATATTTTAACGAAATATATTTTCATACATAAAGATATAAAATTTATAAATATAAAATTAATTAATACCTTGCCACAAAATGTGCAAGTATATTTACTATGCTGAGTAATTTCCATTTTTTTGACCATTTTTCTAAGGGAGGCACCATATCGAGTACCATATTTACCAGTGATTCCAACCTTCTTCGTGCGTTTTGCCTAATGAATAAAAGTAAGTATATTTTATAAATTAAATAATTCTATTTTTTATAATCTAGTATACATAAACATGTCTGTAAATTATAATAATCATAATAATAAAACAAATATTGATTACTGATATGAAATTTTGATAATTAGATATTGTAAAGATATATATTTTTTTAAATTACAAAGTATTCATTTGATATAAATAGGTTAAATTTAATTCTTTATATTAATTTTCGTAATAAATTTTTATCATAAAACAAATTAAATATATCGTATTAATTAATTTTTATTGCACAATGATTAAAAATTTTATAATTTAAACTTCATAATGATTAATTTAATGCGAAAATGCAAACAAAATATTTTTAAAAATCACTATTTTTATACAAATTATTATTTTCAATAAATAAATATCATAATATAAATACTTTATTAATGATACTTTTCAATATTTAATACATTTAATTTTATCAGTATTTCAATAAGATTTATAAAATATTTCTGAATAACAATCTTTACCATTTTGCAGAAATACGGGATACGTTCCAATAGAACCGGAAAAGAAGAAAGCACTATGAAGTCCAATATTCATTGCGCGTTTCAATCACCGGAAATCACAATGAAATGGCGCATTCATGAAAAGCGCGAATTTAAATTGTGCATTAGAAGATAATAAACGAATTTGTTCTCGCGTAATTAAATAAACATTATATTCTGCTTTATTATTGCATAAAACATTTAAATCTATCATCGAAATTAAATTATAAACCACAGTTATATTAAAAACATTTATTTAATACGAGGATATACAAGTACGGCGAATATGCAATCTTATTCTAATCAAAAAATTTTCACGGACAGGTAGTTGCGCAGTTGACCTCAATACGGAACCGTTACATTTCGATCAAGTTATGTTGGTATAGAGATTTCTGTTATCTCAGTTCGATCGTGGTTGCAGAAAAAAGGATAAGTTGTGCAAACGTGCATGAGAACTCTCGAAAACCGGCCTGAAATGACGTAGCTAGTGGATCCCAGACTATCCCGTGCGTGTTAAATCAGTGTTGCTCACCGTTGGTGATCTGTGAACTAATAGCCTATAGTGATTCACTGATCGTTTATCACTTCGTGAAACCGCTAATCGTGGCACATATCGAACAAAAGTGTGAGAGTGTCAATTAGTAACGAAAGCACCGACTAACGATGGTCGTTAAAATCTACATATCGGGCATCAGCGGAAACAAAGAAGTGAGTGCGAAAAACTAAAGAATATAAAAATATTTTATTCGAGAGCTAGGAACAAAAAAGAAGAGAGAATGTGTGTGTGTATGTGAATTTGTGTATGTATGTGACTTGAATGCCAGATTTACCGGGCACCTGAATTCTAACGATATTTCACGTCTACGTTATATCGGATTACACTGAATAAACTTCACGATCGAAATGTCAATTAATAATCGGACACTGTCATTTATTAGAGATTTTTATTGAATGTGACATGCGATGCAGTTTATCGATTGAAATGATTCATACTACGCGTCTATCAAAATGCAATTTTCTTCTGGTTAGATACATTTGATATCAGAAAAACGTATGTTAGATTCAATTAACAAAATAGTATCAAGTGAATAATATAGCTTACATTATATCGAACTTACAAAAATTTATGCATATATAACAATGAAAATGTGAAGAATAAAAAATGAAAATGAATTTATGAATTAATTTAACAAATGAAAAAATATTTATGAATGATAGTTTCAGATTTTGAATAATCGAACTTTTTGATTAGTGTTTATATTTTTCATTATAACGAATACTTATTATATTATGTTTTTAAACTTTTTTTGTTTGATTTTTTATTCAATCTATTTTTTAGTAGTTTTCAGCTATATTTTTAATAGTTTTAAACTAAATTTTATTATTAATAATCATTGATATGATCATAACGGCATATGTTTTGTTCGAATCGATACGTTGCTTTATATTGCACCAGAACATGAAATAATCGTAACTTGTTTATCAAGTTTCGAAACTTTATCTCTTATTAAATAACAATATATTTAAGATTAGATATATTTAAGATTAGATAATTAGATAATAAAGTATAAATATATTGAATTCATTTTTTTTTTTAGGTAAAAAAAAGACAACAACGAGTATTAATGATATTAGATAGCAAAAATGTAGAATACGAAACAATTGATATAACGGAACCAGGGAAAGAAATGGAAAAAGAATTTATGCAAACTAATAGTATCGCGAGAGAAAGTAAATATCCATTACCTCCACAAATATTTAATGAAGAAGAATATTGCGGGGTAATTATTATTATACAAATTCTGAACCTTATAATTTCATGATAATAATAATAAAGGATAATATTTTAAATGTTTGTATAAAATTTTTATGATTTTTGAACTTTAAATAAAAAATTTTTAAATGACTTTTATTTAAACTATAAATACTTATAATGAATCATTCTATAGGATTATGAAGATTTTGATTTGGCAAATGAAATAGATGAATTGGAAGAATTTTTAAAAGTAGCACCACCTGTTAGTGCAAAAGAAAATGTACTTGATTTAAATCAAAGTAAGGAAATTCAAGAAAATGGAAATACTACAAGTCGAGAGGTAGACATTATTAATTATCTGGAAATTTCATAGAAAATGTTAAATGTTATTTTATATATTATATATACTTATATCATTATATGTAGTATGTTTTTTTTTAACTTTACTTCGAAGAATTTGATTTATAATCATCTTAGTTATGTTTATTTGCCGGTGTTTTGTCCTTGGCACTAAATTTGTAACTTGTCTGTATTAACTACTACATGTTTATTTTAGCCCTCTACAGATAAAGAAGCAACTGCAGTAGAGGCAGAAAGGTAAGTTCTATAGAACATAGAAATATATATTATGTAGATTGCATAATTTTGTGATTAATCATATAGATTGAATAATTATTACTATTACTGTAAATATATGCTTGTTATATATTAAATCATTAAATCATTTTATTTATATAAAAAAATTGCCTTGAAAATAAAATTTATTTTATTTTATTTATTTATTTTTATTACTTTTTATCTTAGTGTTGAAAAAAGGACAACTTTACCAAGTGAAAATGTACAGTCAGATGAATCTAAATCTATAGAACATGATGGTGGAACAAATACTGAAGAATCTGCAGAACATACAGAAGAAAATGTTGAAAAAAATGAAGAAAAATCTGATGATCAAGAAAAAGAAGAATAGAAGAATAAATCCATATGATTGTGGGATATTTTATATTTCTTTGACATCCTTAATTTTCCACTGATAAGGATATTTTATAAAAGCTATATTTATCATATTTTTAAGGCTGAGTGAAAGTACTGCCAAAATAAGATTTCTGCTTTGCAGAAAATGTATTGAACAAACAGTATAAACAAAGCGATACTTTTATAGAAATATTTTATATTTGAAATCAAGTATGTTTTCACCATCAGATTTTTTATAGGTCTGACTAGAAAATAATGAATTTTATCCTTTTTCATATCAGTAGATAATATAAATTTTTTAATTTCTTATACTGATATTTTACATTATTTATATTGTAATTTAATTCTTTATTTTTTAAACACAATTCTAATAATGTGCTAGGAGTAATACATTTTCAGTATTGAGAATACCTTTTTTTGTTCTATTATTTGTTAAAAATTAACAATAAATTTTAGGTAGATACATACATCCTATTTATAAAATTATTTTTATTTTAATTTCAAATTTATTATTTAATAATCATTTTATAATTACATTAAATTGTTTATACGAATTTATTAAGTATTCTTGTGTATTTGTCAGTGATCCAAACTACAAATCATTTACCATTTATACTAAAAAACATTATTTCCATTTATATCAATTTTAAATTTTATCATTGTTTATTTGATTTTGTACAATAATGGCATCTTATTATTTTATAATAAGTTCGGACAGTACAACACTCAGTTTTGCATAGAATGCAATTCCTATAAAAGACGACACAATATTAGTTATAATAGTTTGTATCGATATTATACGCACCAACGATTCTTTATGGTGAAATACATCCTAAAATAATTTTCCTCTATACTAAATTTTGAATAATTACTTTCTGGAAAATTAGGACTAATATGAAATTTTTTAGTTCTATGTGATATATATCTATCAAGATTACAATATATTATATTTATAACCTAATTTTTATAAATGTTCCATAGCTAACTAATTTATTTTTTCTCATGCTGGAAATATTTACTTATGGGATAAAAATTAATGAAATATGAACGATTTTAAACTCGTTTTCGAAGGCCTATTTACAATTCTATAAAAATTGATATGAATTATATATATTTAATTATACATCATTATATATTCATAATTTGTTTTATGATATATTTATTTACTGATCACATAATAGACGGGTATTAATCACGAACAAATTCGAAGCTTTATGCAAATTTTATAATAAGATAGATAAGAAGAAAAGATGTATGAAATTCATTATATTATATATGTGCGAGATAAAAAGCCTGACTAATTTTAATATAATGTATTGTGGCTTTTAAATATCAAATATATATTATTAAAATTAAATTAGAAAAAAAATTGAAAAGCTTTACACATGCGGAAAATGTCCATCACATTCTTATACATAGAATAATATTTATATATATTCATGAGCAATAGGTGTTGGACAAGAGTATCACAGTTAATAAATTTTAACATTATGTATTGGAAATATATATTTACAAGAACAATATTCATTATACATGATATATATAAATCATGTCAATCACATACATTGTTACATACATATAAAAATTTACTAATAAATATTATAATAGAAGTTTAAAAAGTTTGTCTAAATAATTTTGTATATAGAGCATTTTTCATCTATAATTGCACTATATACATATTTTATAAAATACTAACACTTATAAATTTTTTGTAGAGTATTTTGTTACTAATCTAAAATTTAAAAAATTTTAAATTGATTTTCTACATTCTAGGAATGTTTTTTGGTAAGTAAATTTCAATTTTACTTTATATTATCTTATATATTCTTTTTTTTTTAATAACTATCAAATTAATATACTTCGCAATTTTTTTATGTATAAATTTTATACAAAAATCTATTTAACAATATATATTCTTTGAATACAATTATAATTTAATTTTGAAAATAAATATTTAATTTCCATTTAACAATATCAATAAAAATAAAACATATACAATTTTAAATATTTTTGAATATTATATTAAGAAATACATCTGGAAAAAATTATAAATTGTTCAAGTTTAATGCATGAATTAGCTAATAATTATAATTATATCGTAAATTAACTAAATATTTTAATGGTATGGCATAATGTTATTGAAAAATATATTTCTAAGTTTTCTAATAATTATTGTCAAGTGAAATTTGTTAAGAAATAAAGTTAAACTATAACATCTAAATAACGTTCATGACGCATTCTTCCAATATCTTTTTCTTGTTCGTTTGTAGTCTCTCCTACGATGAAACGAGAACAGCCTGAAAACAATAATTTTCAACGTGTTTTTG